ATACGTGTATATATTTCTAGAAATTGATAAGCATATTACAGACATTAAGTACTGTACTTACAATCTGCACGGGTCTGAATACTTTCCGTACCCACTGTATATAGTTCAAAAGTTTGAGATCAGTGCGAATATTATTATTGTTAATATTACATTATTTTTATAATGAATACTTTTACTATAAATTAATACTTCAACCCTTTAACTGTCACCGTCGCTTGTCGCTCTTTTTTCCTTGTCTTTTTACCCCATCACATATTTTATATATCATTTGAAAGCTTAAAACTTCAAAAGTCATCATGTGAAAACTATTTTGAAATCGGACATTGCGTTACCATGGAAATGGTACTTTAAATCTTTTGTCCGTCTCCTCCCCCTTAGCAGGCGGGGTCAAATGTCATATTACAAAATGTATTACGGTCTCTTAGAATCAAAACCTTTTGTAATCTTGACAAAATACATATAGTTGGAAAGGTCTGAGTCTCACGATTCCATATTTGGTGGTCTATTTTATAATAGAAGAGAAATTTAGACATTTGTGACAGAAAATTGCATTAAAAAATTCAGTGTTTGGGTGTAACCCGGTGGCTGTTTGGGGTATAACGCCCTAATAAAATCTCACGGGAACCTCGATTGTTTTTATATCAACTTCAAATTTGGAGCATAGCTTATTTAGACATAAGGCTTTAATTGTATAGCTATTTTAGAGTAAAACCTGTTATGAAAAATATTTATTTTATGTCAAATAAAAAAAATAGTACAGTGCATTTTCTTTACAGTAAGTTTAAACTTCTATAACTTTTTGATACTTTCATATATTGAAAAAAATCCACTTCTGCAGTAATTTGGTGATTGTCTCCTTTAAAAAGAGGGAAAAAACCTTAGGTCTTTATTCAAAAGCGTTAATGAATTATAACAATTTAAGTTTGCATAGTGCACTTTCACGTGTATTTCAAATAAATGTTTGCATTTTTTTTTTACATTTTTTTATTCGCTAAGGAATCCTGAAAAAAAAAGTATCACATTTCCTCAAAAATATTAAGCAGCACAACTGTTTTTAACATTGATAATAAAAGTTGTAGTTTTTGATGTGACACTCAAGACTAGAATAATGATGCTGAAAATGCTGCTTTTCCATCACTGGAATAAATTGCATTATAAATATATTACAATAGAGAACAGTTCATTTAAATTGTAAAAATATTGCTGTTTTTACTGTATTTTTTTTTTTTCAAATAAATTCCGTTTTGGTGAGCATAAGAGTCTTCTTTCATAAGCATTAAAATAGGTTATGACCCCAAACCTTTGAATGGCAGTGTAACTTTAATTATATTAAACATTTTTAATTAAGTAAAAACAAATGTGTATATTATTTTACAATGTTTTGACTCTACTATTCTCGCAAAATGTGTTAGCATCTTTAACTGTGTTGTAATGGGGGCGATTTTAATGAGCTAGTTAATTAAACTCAAGTCTTCTCACAAAAACCCATTAAATGATGTGAAATGGCTGGATAAACCCTTCTGTTAAAGCACATCTGTTGTTCACACAAACATCAGTTTGTGTGTGTCTTTGAATATTGCTGCACTCCACATTCCACCTCCAAAAGAGCTTATCTAGTTAACAGCTTAACCTAGTAGCTTAGCAGCTGAATTCACAGCATCCGCAGCGGTGTTAATGATTTCTGCATTTTTCTGCTAAAAATTTATTTATATGGCTGTTCATGAAGTCACGCGTGCCTAAAATACGGTAAACTGATTGTGTCATCTCCTTGAAAACATTCTAATTGCATCGCATTTTCTTAGCCTTGTACTGTACTGTACATATAGCTATTTTAGAGTAAAACCTGTTATGAAAAATATTTATTTTATGTCAAATAAAAAAAATAGTACAGTGCATTTTCTTTACAGTAAGTTTAAACTTCTATAACTTTTTGATACTTTCATATATTGAAAAAAATCCACTTCTGCAGTAATTTGGTGATTGTCTCCTTTAAAAAGAGGGAAAAAACCTTAGGTCTTTATTCAAAAGCGTTAATGAATTATAACAATTTAAGTTTGCATAGTGCACTTTCACGTGTATTTCAAATAAATGTTTGCATTTTTTTTTTACATTTTTTTATTCGCTAAGGAATCCTGAAAAAAAAAAGTATCACATTTCCTCAAAAATATTAAGCAGCACAACTGTTTTTAACATTGATAATAAAAGTTGTAGTTTTTGATGTGACACTCAAGACTAGAATAATGATGCTGAAAATGCTGCTTTTCCATCACTGGAATAAATTGCATTATAAATATATTACAATAGAGAACAGTTCATTTAAATTGTAAAAATATTGCTGTTTTTACTGTATTTTTTTTTTTTCAAATAAATTCCGTTTTGGTGAGCATAAGAGTCTTCTTTCATAAGCATTAAAATAGGTTATGACCCCAAACCTTTGAATGGCAGTGTAACTTTAATTATATTAAACATTTTTAATTAAGTAAAAACAAATGTGTATATTATTTTACAATGTTTTGACTCTACTATTCTCGCAAAATGTGTTAGCATCTTTAACTGTGTTGTAATGGGGGCGATTTTAATGAGCTAGTTAATTAAACTCAAGTCTTCTCACAAAAACCCATTAAATGATGTGAAATGGCTGGATAAACCCTTCTGTTAAAGCACATCTGTTGTTCACACAAACATCAGTTTGTGTGTGTCTTTGAATATTGCTGCACTCCACATTCCACCTCCAAAAGAGCTTATCTAGTTAACAGCTTAACCTAGTAGCTTAGCAGCTGAATTCACAGCATCCGCAGCGGTGTTAATGATTTCTGCATTTTTCTGCTAAAAATTTATTTATATGGCTGTTCATGAAGTCACGCGTGCCTAAAATACGGTAAACTGATTGTGTCATCTCCTTGAAAACATTCTAATTGCATCGCATTTTCTTAGCCTTGTACTGTACTGTACATGTCTTAATGGTTAATGTGAAGTTGTTCTCTCCATAGACCATCAATCCATAACTTTTCTGGTAATTAAAGGGATAGTTTACTCAAATGAAAAATTTCATAATTTATTCAACCTCATGTCATTCCAAACTTCTTAATTTCCACAGAAGAATGGAAGTCATACAGGTTTGGAACAACATAAATTATGACTTTTCATTTTTGGGTGAACTGTCCCTTTAAGCCAGTTATTTTAAATTGTAATGATATTTCACAATATTACTGCTTTTACTGTATTGTTGATCAAATAAATGCAGCCTCTGTAAGCGTAAGAGACTTAGCACAAAAACATTACCATTCTCAAACTTTGCATCGTAGTAAATATATATAAAGTGTAGCATGCTGTCATGTCAATGTCACATTGGTTGTTCTTCTAAAAAATGCTGGACAAAAACCAAGTCTTTTGCTCAAGCCTGGCAAGATAATTTTTTCATAAGACATGTTGAGTGCAGATGTTGTGAGCTTGACAGCTTCTGCACAGGAGACTTAACTTTCAATCGATTTTAATGGACTTTGGCTTTAGCATGTAAGTTAATGGCTTAAAACTCAAAAATGCACAAAAATGGATCACAAATTTTGGGTAAAATAATCAACTTCTGCTTACAGTGGACTATTGTTATCAGTGCTCTTCAGGACTAAATTAATTATAAGTTTAATTATAATTAACATTTACATTTTCACAGAACTCCCCTTTTATCTTGCAGGTGCTTCTATTGGTTTACAGCACCTGTCAATCACTTGCTCTTCTTCTGATTTTTCTCATCTTCCTTTTTTCCTGTTTATTTCCCAGATGCCTGCAGGACATTTTGGTTAATCTTTGAATTCATTTTTAGTTCTCAGTCGTGACAGCCTTTTATGGTTATGTGAAGATGTTAATGACTTTGTGAAGTCATTATTCCATGTGCCAATTCATTGTTCTGAGGTGATGAGAGTCTTGCTAGATGCCATGAAAATGTGAAATTATTTAAACCTCCTTCTGACTCTAAATCATATCCTTGCAAAACTGAATATTTATAAGTTTATAATGATGACATTAGACAAGAAGTGTCAAAAACTTTTTTTTTTTCACCAAAACTGCTATTTTTAATGATTTTATTACAGAACATATTAAATTATTAAAATGTAATTATTCTGATTGTATAATTATTCATTTATGTACTCATTTATTTATTTGTTTGTTTTTAGAAATAAATAAATAGTGCAGATTTGGTATATATTTTTTAGAGTGTGTAATATACACTCTAAAAAATGCTGGGTTGTTTCAACCCAACTTTGGGTCAAATATGGACTAACCCAACTTTTGGGTTAAAAATATAATTAAAAAATTTAACACAACAGGTGGGTTAGTCCATATTTGACCCAAAGTTGGGTTGAAACACTTTTTTTTTTTTTTTGGTCCAGGTACAGTATATGGCACAACGCTTTTTCAATTTCTTACTCCAGCTTACCTTTGTAAAAAGTGGGTAAAAAAAAATTCAATTATAGCAAATACAACATATAAATTACACACCCCGCTACAGTAATAAACAAAATCTCTGAGGTTCTTTTAATCTGTCACTCTACAGTCGATCTACAGTATATGGTCCTTTTCACAAAATTGGATAAAATGATTCATATACCACAATACTGATCTAATGTTTCAACATAGTGTCTCATGACAAGCTATTATTACCTCAACCTGTGCTTCCATCTCAGTGATGTTTCCGTGATGAAAGAAATAATGACAAAATTGCTAACCGCTCTGGAAGACGCATCATCAAAACATGTCTGTGGAGATCTGCGTAATATTTAAAATCAAATTAAAGCTGAAAACACCAACTCCTTTTCCGATCTCATTTCTTTTTGGCTTGCTTGTTTATCTGTATGTTTGTTGAGGTTATGTACTGTGAGAGTCTCTTAAATGGGATTGTTGCAAGCCAGATTCAAACCTGCGTCACCCGCTAAGCATCACATTTTTTTTCTGGCATCTTGGGGCTCTAACCTTTTATTTTTTTATCCCTTTTTCCACTTTAGAAGCAAAGGAGATTGTCCTGAAAGCTCAGATTTTAGCAGGAGGAAGAGGCAAAGGAGTGTTCGACAGTGGCCTGAAAGGAGGGGTGCATTTAACAAAAGAGTGAGTACCTTCCTAGACCCATTTTCTGAGAAAGAATAGATCCTGCTTTCCTGTCTTTCATTCCTCCTAAATCTCCTGTCATTCCTTGACACCCTGTATTTCTCATCAAGAAAATAGAGCAGAATATCACTGTACCCTCAGCGTTTGTGATGTCCTTAAAACTCAGTGGTAATGTGGAATGATGGATTCCTCAGCTGAACAAATTAAAAGTGTTATAGAAACTATAAACATGTCGTGAAAAAACCCTTGAGAATGAAGGAGACGTTTGAAATATAGCAATCTCTGAAAACGTTACCAGAAAGCCATGGGTTTTCCTCAAGTAGGGACTGATTTATGACTGAATGCCTGCGTCGTGTATCACTGTCATGTAGTGTACTTTGGCATTCGGGATGAAGAGAATCGTCCAGAGAAAACACTCTGAAACGCAGCCTGATCTGTTTTATCTAGCAAATGAGCACTGCGCTTTTTGTGTCCCTGAGAGATCGTCGAGAGTTTGCTAGTATCTGTTTCTTAAACTTTTTTAGTTGGCCTGTACCATTGTTATTTGTAGTACAATGAAAAGATGGCAAGAAATGCGGAGAGAGATAGAACAGCATGATCAGCAAATGAGCCCAATTTAAACCTGCATTGCTAGCATGAGCACTACGGCACAATCAGCACACATGCATAAATTAAATAAAATAATCACAGCTGCATCAAAAAAATAATAATAACTGCGAAAAATATAAAACAGTCTGGGAAAACTTGCGTCCACATACAGTTTGATCAGATATCTTGTTAGAGTGCGTGTCAGTGTTTACTGCACGCAACAATGAACTCAGTGTGAGCTGCGATGTCCGATCTGGGAAAAATGACTCCTACGAACTGATTCTCATAGTCAAAGAGATTCATGATCTCGAATCAGAATGCTTCTTTGATAATTCACACTATGCAGTCATCACTCACTTGTCGGCGATCTCCAGAAAACTGTTGGCGAGTAAAAATCAGGCCTAAAATCGTGTATACCCAGCATTGATCGTTCCAAATTCGTTCCGCTATTGAGTTCCCAACCGACTCCCTCACTGAGCCGAGTTATTTCCAATTTAAAATGAATCGAGGTTTGTTACTGTGATGCAAGTTTGTAAAACATACATTAGTCTGACAACTAAAGATACTGTGATTTAAAGATACACATTCACAACAGAGTTTTGATGTATAAATTAATAGTATTCTATAATTAATAATGCTGTTCTAAACAAATACACTCTATACAAAAATTATGATTGTTTATTTTTTTATACAAGATATAACTGTAAGGTTGAATCAACTGTAAGCGAATCTTGGTTTGAGAGCAATATATACATATATATATATATATATAGTAGACGAATTGGTTATTTAAAAGTCACAATGAATTAAAAGTGTAAAAATGTGTTTCTATTTCAGTCCTGTTGTTGTTGGAGAGTTGGCCGGTAAGATGCTCGGCTTCAATCTGACCACCAAACAGACCCCTAAGGAAGGAGTGAAAGTAAAAACGGTACAAAGGAAAGCACCTTGTTTATCTCTGGCATAATTTCTCTTTTTTTTTAATGTTGTTCCGCTGAATACATAATCGCTTTTGCACTTGGAAATGAAATTCTCTCTTTTTCTCTCTCTCTCTCTCTCTCTCTCCACTCTCCTTGTCTACCTGGCTGCAGGAGAAAGCTGTATAATACAGTATCATTTAAAGATGTTTTTTTCCCGCAGTCATCACTCACTTGTCGGCGATCTCCAGAAAACTGTTGGCGAGTAAAAATCAGGCCTAAAATCGTGTATACCCAGCATTGATCGTTCCAAATTCGTTCCGCTATTGAGTTCCCAACCGACTCCCTCACTGAGCCGAGTTATTTCCAATTTAAAATGAATCGAGGTTTGTTACTGTGATGCAAGTTTGTAAAACATACATTAGTCTGACAACTAAAGATACTGTGATTTAAAGATACACATTCACAACAGAGTTTTGATGTATAAATTAATAGTATTCTATAATTAATAATGCTGTTCTAAACAAATACACTCTATACAAAAATTATGATTGTTTATTTTTTTATACAAGATATAACTGTAAGGTTGAATCAACTGTAAGCGAATCTTGGTTTGAGAGCAATATATACATATATATATATATATATAGTAGACGAATTGGTTATTTAAAAGTCACAATGAATTAAAAGTGTAAAAATGTGTTTCTATTTCAGTCCTGCTGTTGTTGGAGAGTTGGCCGGTAAGATGCTCGGCTTCAATCTGACCACCAAACAGACCCCTAAGGAAGGAGTGAAAGTAAAAACGGTACAAAGGAAAGCACCTTGTTTATCTCTGGCATAATTTCTCTTTTTTTTTAATGTTGTTCCGCTGAATACATAATCGCTTTTGCACTTGGAAATGAAATTCTCTCTTTTTCTCTCTCTCTCTCTCTCTCTCTCCACTCTCCTTGTCTACCTGGCTGCAGGAGAAAGCTGTATAATACAGTATCATTTAAAGATGCACAATTTTTTTTTTCCCTTTCTGTCATTTCTTTAAAGAATTCTTCTTTTGCTATTAGCTGAGTTAGTTGTCATAGGTCATTGAGATGAATAAACTGTGTGAGTCAGACCTCGGTGTGCAGGGAATGTTGGTAAACAGCCATTTCCATGTGTCACTAACAAGCAGAAATATCATTTTCCTCCCTCTTTCTCTGCTTCTCTCTATGTCTGACACCCACACAGACCGGCGTACTCCTACCACCACCCCGTATGTTTATCACTGTTTATCTCTCTCTCTCCCTCAGGAGGTAATGATGGCTTCCTGCACTTAGCACATGTTTGTCCTCTCATCTTTAAACGCGGCCTAGAGCTCCCCATTATCACCCGCTTTTATTCCCGCAAGCTTCCCCTCATGCAACCGCCCCAAAACCTTTTTTTTCACAACGACGGCATCACATTTTTATCTTTTTCCTGCCCGAGAAACAGCCACGGAGGGTGGAAGTGCACGGCTGGAAGAGTAGGATGGATTCATAAAGGGAGGTGGTGAGGAGGAACAGAGGTGGGATATAAGCAAAAATAAATAAATGCTTTAGAAATGCCAGCTCGAGCGTGTGGCATCCCCCTACAAACTTCTCTCGCAGCATTTGAAAGAGTGTCACATTCGCTATGCAAGAGCCCTCTGGTTTCCTTCTCACATGGATGCATTATTGTATAATGAGGTTTTCTTCATGAATTCAGAATACAGTATCGGTTTTTTAAAAGGAAAAAGGAAAAGTACGTTTTGTAAAAATGTGTCCTCCTCTAAGCCTTCAGAAGATGTTGTCATACTTCATAGCATATAAAAAAGAGCCTTTATTAGAGCCTTTTAGCATATTCTAAAACATAGAAACAGAGCCCGGATAGCTCAGTCGGTAGAGCATCAGACTTTTAATCTGAGGGTCCAGGGTTCAAGTCCCTGTTCGGGCGAAGTGCCATCTTTTTGGGGGAAGTCGTGGCCTAATGGTTAGAGAGTCGGACTCGTAACCCAAAGGTTGCGGGTTCGAGTCTCGTGCTGGCAGGGATTGTAGGTGGGGGGAGTGAATGTACAGCGCTCTCTCCCACCTTCAATACCACGACTGAGGTGCCCTTGAGCAAGGCACCGAACCCCCAACTGCTCCCCGGGCGCCGCAGAATAAATGGCTGCCCACTGCTCCGGGTGTGTGTTCACGGTGTGTGTGTGTTCACTGCTGTGTGTGTGCACTTTGGATGGGTTAAATGCAGAGCACTAATTCCAAGTATGGGTCACCATACTTGGCCACATGTTACTTCACTTTTCATATATGAGCCAAAATTTTATATATATATGTGTGTTCATAAAACATTGCTCGTATATCATATGAATTATATCCAAGTCCTAATCGTACAACACACATATATATATATATATATGCACAGCTGTTTCCAACAAATTTTTTTTCTTATTATTAGAATAATTTCTGAAGGATCATGTGACACTGAAGACTGGAGAAATTAAGCTGAAAATTCAGCTTTACCACCACAGAAATAAATTACATTTTAAAACCTTTGAACGGTAGTGTATATATATGTAATTGGTTTATTGTTGCTGTTTTTTTTTTAAAGTAAAAAATAGATGTAGGTCAATGGCTGATGGCTCTTTGGTTGAAATAAATACATAAATATTGTAATATTTATTTTTTACTCTATAGCTCTCAGCCTTGGAGGGGATTGAATATGGATGAGGGTTTGAATATGACTTGTGTTAAAAGGATGTAATTGTGTTGTCAGTCTCCGAGAGGAATGCTGCTTGTGAGCTGTCAGTGTGCCATCAGAACTGTACGTTAATGTGCCTTGTTGGCCTTCTCTCTTTCTTTTCTGCCACAATAGACTGTGAAGCGAGGAAATAAAGGATAAAATGGATGGAAAGACAATGCAGGAAATAGAATGAACTGAGGGTGCAAACTTTTGCCTCCTTAACAAGCTGATAGGGATAAAAATGGACATGAGTGCTGGAGATTGGAGTGTAGGGGAGACTGGGGCAATTGTAACTCTACATTTCTTCAGTCATATACAAGTAAGAGTGATGACACTTATTCAACACATACTCAGTAGTGCCTAGTGTCCCCTAAGTCCTTTGTGTGTGTGTGTGTGGCTTTTATTTAACAGTGAAGATGGGACAGTAGTCTGTTTTTTTTAATGAATGTAAAAATAATATGGATGAGGGTTTGAATATGACTTGTGTTAAAAGGATGTAATTGTGTTGTCAGTCTCCGAGAGGAATGCTGCTTGTGAGCTGTCAGTGTGCCATCAGAACTGTACGTTAATGTGCCTTGTTGGCCTTCTCTCTTTCTTTTCTGCCACAATAGACTGTGAAGCGAGGAAATAAAGGATAAAATGGATGGAAAGACAATGCAGGAAATAGAATGAACTGAGGGTGCAAACTTTTGCCTCCTTAACAAGCTGATAGGGATAAAAATGGACATGAGTGCTGGAGATTGGAGTGTAGGGGAGACTGGGGCAATTGTAACTCTACATTTCTTCAGTCATATACAAGTAAGAGTGATGACACTTATTCAACACATACTCAGTAGTGCCTAGTGTCCCCTAAGTCCTTTGTGTGTGTGTGTGTGGCTTTTATTTAACAGTGAAGATGGGACAGTAGTCTGTTTTTTTAATGAATGTAAAAATCTTACAAATACACCTAGTCTCCTCTACGTTTTATTTTATTTACGTTTGTGTGTGTTTTTTTGTTTTGATTTGTTGTTTAGTTTTTAGTTTTTTTTGACAGTGAAGAGTGGACATTAGTAACATTAGTTACATTAGTTACTGAATGCAAAAATGTTTCAAATACACCTAGTCTTCCCCACGTTTTATTATTATAATTTGTTTGTTTTGTTTGTTTGTTTTTATTTTATTTGTGTGTGTGTGTGTGTGTGTGTGTGTTTTGTTTTGTTTGAGTATTTTTATTTTTATTTTGGTAGTGAAGAGGGGACATTAGTCTAATACTGAATGCAAACATTTTACAAATACGCCTAAACTCCCCTACATCCTTATTTCATTTCATTTTATTATTTAT